TTTCGTTGTTATCGCTTTATTCTGAAGTAGCTCTACCTATTACCGTCAAAAAAGGGGTACCCTTACTTTTTTGTTAACTGTGCCTTTAAGTAAATGCTGTGCAATAAAGTAATCAAGTAGCAAGTAGTCCCGATTTCCGGGAACCGTGGGCTCCCTTAACAATGCGATACGTTGTGTCAAAAAAGAGCCACTGTATAGCGTCAGACAACAATACCAACTGTTTGCGTTGCCGCATAATCGTTATGAATGCACACAGCGATAGTTCTAGAAGTATAAATGCACAAAATCTCTTCTTTGAATATCTGCCTCATTACATGAAGGAATAGGAAATGATGGGTTGCGTAATTCCAATGGAGGAATGATTCAACAAATGTCATGGGTATAGCAGTTATAAGCATCATGAAGAGAAGGCGCAAAAATAAATACGAGTCCGTACGAGAATGAGGGAATTTCATTTATTTTTAGGCATTCGCAAAAAGTAGGACAGAGTTGGAAGAGTCGCTACGTAGTGCAAGTTTAGTTTTTATGCTAGTATGATCACCTTTTATAATAACCGATCGCAACCTTATTCGTGCGAAGACGAGATTGAAAATGGAACTAGGCGAGAGCAATTGATCAAACATCGAGAGCAACCCAAAGACTGACATTGATTCTTTGAAAAGGAGGTTCAAGAAACCGCTGTTCCTGCTATCAGCCTGGTAGATTGATGAACATCAGTACCCGTTTAATGTGAAGGCATCAGAGCCGCCATTACACGTGAAAATGGTATTGCATCGTCAAGGGGACACCAACCTTGAATATGAATGAAATTCTTCCTTAAGCTCATTCACCCCCACTCAAACATATCAGTGGCTTCTTTGTCAAACAATCAAAGCGTTGCCACTGAACGTTGGAAGGAAAAGAAGTTAGAACCGAACCTCCCTAACAAAGCGCACTCCTCTTACTGCGCCTACAGGCGCTTGATTTTCTGCTTCACCCTGAGTAGACGAGTGTGTAATTCGGCAGCCAAATTGAACAGTAAGGTGTCCTTTGAATGAAATCGGAAAGATAGAGAAACCGGTGAAACGATCGTCTTCTGGAGGATAGTTATCCTTCACAATTATCCCACACAGGCTAGCGCCTAATACATGCACGACTAAGATTTGCTTCAGTTTGAAATAGTTTTCAAATTATGGAGTTTGCTGACACGTGTGAATGGGAATCATAAAAAGATGAGAAAAGGAGACCCATACACAGAGCCTTCAAATTTGGTATTAGGAGAAGCGGCAGGATAGGAACGCCGATGTTGGAAGGCAATGCTGCTTCGTGAACAGAGGGAACTTTCCCTCTCAGACATGGAGTCTTCAAGTTTGGAAGATATAGAGATTGGACGCCAGCGTTTGAATTCGGAAAATATTCAGGCGGCAGAGATTTCAAACACGGAAAGAGAGAACTCCAGCACAAGTCCTTCGATCCGACCGATGTGATGAAAATGGTAAAGACGAAAAGAGGTTCGGAAGAACACTTGCTAGAGGTATTTTTCGCAGCTATGTCATATACAGGACCCCAGTGGGATCACCTGGCACACTCAGTGTTTCCCACCTTCCTCTTACAAAGTCAGGAAGCAGACTTGACCCTACATCCGCCAAAATGCTAGAATGTCACCAAGATTGGAAACCATCGTTTAATCAAGAGATCTTAGGATGTCCGGAAATTTTCGACAAGATTCGGACAGGGTACATTATAGAATGCAATGACCCATCAACAAAACTTCATACCGAGTAGCGTGATATCTAAAGAAGCCAGCGTTAGCCAAAAGGCTGAGGAGTTGGTCCATGCATTCGGGGAAGGTGTTCGGTCCCTGCAGAGGCAAAGGGGAGGTTAGGAACGATTTTGGGTAATCGATTTGCCGCACGCGGCTGTCGCTGACCACCCATTCGTCGTTATTACAGCTCTAGCGTTCTTCACACAGCTCAATCGATGTGCGATCATTATTTTATGCATAATTCTACTATTAGTACTTTTGTTCTTGTATTTTTACCTACTGGTTACCTACCGCTGCATCCTGCTACATTCCTTCGCGCGCGACACCCCTCTCACCGCGACGCGACCATTCGTTCCTAACGCACCACACCAGAGGCAAAGGACTATACCTGCAGATTTGCAAATATTCTTGTCGGTGCTAGCGTTTTGAGTTCATGTTCTCAGTATGACTGGGCTTCCGCACCGGCGTGGCCAAGGTAGGAAGGTCGGCTGGTGGGGGAGTACAGTTACATTGAGCACATAGTCTCAAAATCGCTCAGTGATATAGCTGGGACGTCACCGGGCATGAGCGCAAGGAACCGTCGGACGGCTGAATAAAAAGTCCCGAGAGATTGCTGATCTGAAATCAGAGTACTATGCCTTTGAAGAGACGTGCGGGAAGGAACAAAGAATAGAGGAACTGGGAAAGGTGTCGAGCTCCACTACGACGGAGTAGGCACCAAACTATGTCGCTATAGCAGCGTCTCCGCTGTCAAAAGGATTAGGGGTAAGAATCGTGGCCGTTGTACACGAAGCGGGAGTATTGGACGATAGTATCCGTATTTCCTTTCAAGCCAGCTGGCCGGGGAAAATAAAGAAAGGGTGAATAACTTCCGCTATTTTGAGTTGATCTAGCCTCCGATATTGGTGCGGACCCGGCTGTGAGAGCTCAAATAAATGCAGCATGGTTGAAGCGGAGGGAGTACGTTGGTAACCTGTGTGATCGGTCCTGCAGGACGCTCAAAGGAAAGGTGTACCTGCTATTGGTAAGGCTCACGAAACGGCAATGTGTGCTGGCCCCTGAGTAGAAATCATGGGAAACCACTTCACTCCGCTAAAATGAGGATGTTCAGGTGGGCTCGTGGTTGGACACGACTGAGCATAGCTAGAAAAGAGAACGTTAGCGAGGACATGGAACACGATAGGCCCAGAGAAGAATTGGTGGAAAGTGATCAGGAAAGATCTCGCCAAACCAAGGAAATGGCAGAAGATGCTGTAGATAGGAGAAGGTGTAGACAACATACAAGAGCAGCGGTCCCTGCAACCGCGTAAGATTGTGGCTGGGGTAAAAATAAGAAGCCGTGAAATATAAAAGATGCTTGGAGTACATAAACTTCTGGAAGTGGAAAAGTGTCNCGCGACAGCCTACTATCTTGATTTAGAGTAGCATCCTCCCTATCTCCTCCGCTCTCCTTTTGAAATGGTTGTCTATTATACTACAGGGACTCCCATACTCCCACTCACGAAGAGCCCAAATGAATTGCAATTGGAAAGCCAGTATCATTTCTGCCTCCTTCAGTCTGTAGAGAACAAAAATGGCAACTGCTAGAATGTATAAACGAAAAAGTAAAGGCAGGGGTGAAGGCAACCAGTATTCGTTAGTAGGCCAAATGTTCTCATTTTCCCTAACAATTTGGCCGTCTACTTCTTGTCTCGCATCCGGCCGTCTGCTTATTAATATGCTGCAAAAATCAGGTAATGATAAATTTGTGAACCTACTGTGGACAGAAGAGGGTTATGACGCTATAATCCATCAAACAGAAAAAACGTTGGTCAACTGGGTTGGAAGAGAAAAAAGATCATTCTTTGTTCGAAAATCAAATCGACTCTGTTCACAGGCTATTTTTGCAGAATACTTCATGGGAGGGATGACTAGTGGAATGAGTGATGAGCAATGGAAACAAAAACAAAAAACCTGTCAAAATCTATTTACTTGCGCTTTATATGGAGTTAATAGTATTCGAGCGCCAAGCCGATTATTGTGCGGTGTGACGTGTTCAATGCAGAGCTGCCACCTACTCACTATCACAGAGAAAACTGGAAATTCCCACCCCGTGAACTTTCATTGAACTCATTGGACACTATCCAGAATCCCTGAGAAGTGAACTGAAGAATTACTAAGTAATGATTCCCAAAGGGACCATATAATACGTTTGTTCATAATAAGGTTTCCTGACTCTAAAAGCTGGTAGCTGCCCACTCATCAGAGTAAGAGGAATTTTGAGTTTATAAACTTGCTTTTCCAGACGAATTTATTGTCTTTTTGAGATTTGCTTGTGATAGATGGACTTACCACAGGGATATGTGAGCAATGTAAGCGAGTTAAGATTCCGTTTGAGACATATTGTGGGTCATAGGCACAGTTCACGACAACTTTGAGTTACCTTCTTAGGTTGAAAAGCGGAAGTGTTGACGAAGATGAGTAAATCGGTAGTGAAAAAAGTGAGGAAATCCGCCTATTTCAAGGCTTTTTGAGCAGTGGAACTGGAGATTGTACGAGATCACCGCGACGGAAGCGGCATGTGAGGGGTGTTTAGACGAGATTTAACTTGCTCTCATTGCGCAAGTAGATGACTACATCAAGCCAAAATTGTCCGAAACTGCCTTTCACGGTCGCCATGGGTCATGACAAGTTGTTTGAACTTTCTACACGAAAGTCTCTGAGAAAGTGCAGCCTCTACAGAGCCGTTGCAACCCGTCAACTATGGGTGTGGCATTCATACGATACAATCTTTGGCCCCTTATTGTGTCCTATCTAGGATGTTTTTCGACCTTATAACGGCAGGTATGGTATAAGGGGAGCCTCGAATTCATACTATAATATAATGAATTCTCAGAAACCACTTTTGTCATGAACTATGCCTTTAAGGGTCGTTGCTTTCTAGTCCGTATTCCACAAGGCTAACCAGCTACATAGTCACTTGCTTTGAACAGTAATTTGAGATGAAAAAAAAAGGAATGAAAATAAACAAGGTCACTCGTTCATCCTTGATTAACTCTGATTGGTATCATGTGGGAAGAAAATCGAGAAATCATTGTGAAAGCCATTTTTCTACGCTTTGATTGAGATCCTGTAGAGTATAACTTATTCTAACTCATCACTCGTGTCTCACAGGTACGCAACTCAACAACAAAGTGAAATATAATCTGGGGAAATGTCGTCTCCTTACGATGGAATGGGCATAATTACTGTGAAAGACATTTTTCTACACCTATATTGCACACACTTTTTTGGACCTGTGAAGCCAGTGAGCCGCTATTGCCTTTCGAAAATTTTTCGGATTCTCTTTTGCTAGATATCTATGCAGTGGGCACGCTCTTTTAATTGTTTTCTTCGTTTGTGCTGTGCCATTGCACATGATATGGTCTCTTTCTGAACCTATCCTGGGGTTTGCCGTTGCTCTAACCTAAGTCTCTGTTGAAGTCGTGCTACAATCGCCACGTTCTAGCTTATACTCCGCGTTTTGCTCGAAAACGTCTAGGTAGAAACTAAGATTTTTGAGAAAGGGTACCAGTCTATCCTTACAATACGAAAAGAGGCAGAGAACGTTGTGAGGATGGCGACTCTGAAAGTATTTCCTCTACATCTCTCCCTTGAGATCCCTGCGACTTTACCGGCAACTATTTTTTCTCATAACATGATTTTCCTGAGAACGCTCTCGAGCCAAGACCTGCCGTTGGCCTTCGATTAGAAAGCAGCGGTATGCATATTTGGCTTGTTCATCATTTTCACAAAACAGTTGAATCTCTATCCAGGCACCTCACACGTTTTTTGTCTTGCAATAAAACGTTTTGAATTTCATGTGAATAATGTGAATAATGAAGTTGATTAAAATCAAGCCTATCTGAAGTCTCCCTCCCATCGTAAAGCTCTGTGCCGGCCGCCTCCGCGGTACTGAAGATTTGACATCGACTGCCATTGGATTGCAGGAATAAACTGCATCATCAATCCTCAACAGCAGGCCTTCCTACCTAACAAGGGTGGAGCTTCCCCCTTCACAAAAAGAGGAGAGAACGAAGTTTGTAATGGTTCCTTTTTTTTGAGTATCCTACTATTTAGGGCGGAGGTGGTTTAGTGGCAAGTGGCGCACTATATCACAAGCACGGTCAGGGGTTCGAATCCCGGATCGATGCCCGCCTAGGCCAACCAAGCCTTCCATCCCTCCGGGGTCGGTGAATTGGTACCAGACTTGTCTGGGAGGATAAAAGCACTGACTTGTACATCGGCTGGCCACCGCAAGTCATTGTATAGGCCACATACGCACTCAATACGCCACTACGATTCTGAATGGAAGTCGAGTGCGGGGGCCCATCCCTCAGACGGGATTGATTAACGCCAAAAACTTTATCCTTTTTATTATCCTACTATTTCCACATTGATAATTAATTTCATAAAGAAAAAACTTCTGTCGAAAACGGTAGACAGAACTGGAAGGCAGATGAAGGTCCCATTCCAAGACCTGCTGCTCTCTTTTCTTACACTCATTATAAAAGAAAGATTCATTGGTAGCCTTCGGTCCCTCCAAACTCCTGCCGGTTTTTGTGATCTGCAGAGCCCCTCTACAGAAAATATTTACTTTGCCTCCATGCTCCGGTACCAGAATTTTCGGCCAGGCTTTGCAATTGATATGTCGTACAATGTCCCTAGCTGGAACAATCATCAGGTTCATAAAGCGTGGAAGAGCCTTCTTTCCCTGAGCCCCATTTTTGTCTCATCATAGAAGCAAAATAAGCCTTCGAACGGAACCGTCTCGTGAAACACACAGTTCCAACACTGCTTCGGAATTCCTCAATTCTTCTAAATTCTTCAGGAGCTTGAATTGATGCATGTATGGGACGTCTGTTAAACACTGAGGGGCGTCCTGAAAATCTTACCGCTCCCATGGCTACCCCCGACATGAAATTAGTCATCTATCAATTTCGTATGCCAATCTTCTCATACGTGTCTGGTCACGAATTCCTTTCAGCGGGAAACTACCCATTGAGGCGGTTCGAGTGAATCAGGTCCACCACTGAGGGGTAAATAGTTAAATGGGCAAAAGCTGTTCAGTTCGATAACAATGTAACACAATCGAATTACCTTTGAATCGGCCCACTGGGGCGAGCAATTCTTCGTGCGTGCTGGCCCTTTTGGAGAAAATCTGACTAACAAACTTTCCCATATATCTTGTGGGTGCCCATCCATGTTCCTGACAGACCCCTTTGATTCCAACAGACGGCCGTCCAACCGAGGCCATGCTTAGGTTCACCCGTAGCCGCAAGTGACCCGCGCGTCCTCGGAGCGCCGGCTATTATCGATCCGTGCCACTGTAGTGGTGAGCTGGACGACCTCCTTCTTTTGCTGAGCTGGCTGAGTGCCAATATCTTGCCAACCTACTTAACTAAGCTGGGAGTTTTAGGAAATCATCCTGAGCTTTTTCACTTACATGTTTTCAAAAGTTGGAGGTAATTGTGACATTTTACTCGCTGTTACTGTTGTGCTTTTATGATTTTCCGATTATTACAACCACTTTCGCTCTTCACTGATAATGCCCTCTCCTGTCAGGCAAGTTCCCCAGTCCAGTTACATGGCTTGCGTGTGGAGCTATTCAGTTGGGAAGCTCGCTGATCAAAATTGATTGCAACCAATCAATAAACGTCCACTCCTTCACAATTTATGGCTTCTTCTTCTTTTGAATGTTCTTTCTTAACTGCTTCAAGTTAGATGCGAACATTTTGCAAAGCAGCTTATCAGATGGTGACCGATTTATTATGACGAAGCTTTCGGCATCGATATTTCGCCCATGATAAACCGAGCCGGTAAACCTTTCCAGGGAATACTTCCCCTTTTTTGCAGTTCAAGTTTCTGCAAATTCCTGCCCTTTCTCAAGGAAACGTGCCAGGATGATTATCGAATCACACACGAAAGCAGGGGATGTCTCGTAAAATTTCGCGCTCCAATTCAAATTAGTGTTCATATTTGTGCGCCACTGCAATTTCGTACATCTTAAAAAATTAGTAGCTGTGCGTGTAGCACGTATTATTTCATTTTGTTATTTATAAACGTCTGTTTCTCCTAATCTTCTCTTCAGTTTTTTTCGTCTATGAGATGTGGTCCTTAGGAACCAACCCGCCAAACCGCTGCTCTGAACCGTTTGCTACTCCACCCTCAGTTTTCTTTCCGTTTAAATTGTTTTTTGTTTATATAATGTTTTGCTTATAAGCTTTTTCATTTGTGAGAACAGTTAGCTATTTCCTGGGAACTCTAGAACAATCTATA